CACATTGAAAACAATTAAAGATTCTCGTGCAAAATAACTTACTTCATTAACAATATTAACATGGGGTGTGCGAGAGACTTAATTTCACGTGATGCACCCTGGGCAACGTATACTCATGCGGCAAAATGTCTATAAACCGATAGTTGACCTCAAACTACCATGACCCGACTGGTGTATGTCAGCACTCATTTTACCATTTTCTCTACTTTTGTGGGTGTCTCTTTTACATCTGTTAGTCACTCTACTGTTCCTCCTCCTCTCTGTAAAGCCCAAAGTCAGCTAAAGGGCTAATGATAACTATCAAAACGCCTGCATTTTAAAATAAATAAATAATATTGACGTTTAAATACCCTAACATTCTACTCATATTAAATACAAATGGTAATTGACATTAACAGCTGCTTTTACCAGGAAATTGAACTGCTAATAAATTTGGGCAGTAAATCAATCAGATGCATTGCATACCCACTCGAATAAAATTGCTGTGAAATAATATGTTGGCATATTGCAACTACCGACTATAACATTTTAGCCAGAGTTATGGCTGTCACAAGGAAGGCATTTAAGCATATATACCATGTGGACCAAAACTTTTGATAATTGAACTTCCATATGCTTGTCTATTAACCTGAGATAGGCAGATCTTCCCGCGGTTTATGAGTCTAAATTTTATTGTTAATTGTGGTCGGCTAGAAATGAATAGGAATGTAAAAATTTCCTCGATCCAATTTATTCCAACTTCACGTTAAGTGGTAAGAAAGAGTTTCAGTGATTATTAAGAAATCAATGAATTAAATGGTCACAAAGTTGGTATAATATTGGAGATCCCGGCAGTTTTGAGTCAGAACTTTTGACAATTTTTTAATGAGCTCAGCTTAACAACTCAAAGCGTTGATAAGCAACCTTAATTTTAATATTTCAATAAGTTTTGTAAATTAAACTATTTAATGTAAATCAAAGCATATCAGACTACTAAGTTGCTCATTTAATAATAATGTGCAATAATGAGTAATTGCGCAATCACCACAAACAATCGAATGAAAATTGCATTGATATTGCAATACCAAATTTAAGAAACAAATTGGACAGGAGAATTTAAAAATCGTTTATTCCGCAGATCGCAAATGATCTTTTTATGATCAATATAATAGTCGTTATATTTAACCATATAAACGTTGAATATAAAGCAGCTTTACAATTCATTTGAAATAAAGTCACTAGAAAAGAAATTTGGCCATCAAATGCACAATTAATTCAAATTGGATTAGTAAAGTTATATACAAATATTTAAGTGAACTATTTAGTTAGTTATTATATATATATATATATATATATATATATATAATTTATTCTGTTTTAAGATTAGAGGATGCCGTTGGGGTGGGAGGTCAATTGAGCATAGGCTTATACGTTTAAAGATTTATTACAGGGTAATAACCATGGGGAATTAGTTTAAACCATCTTAGAGTCACTTAAAATTTCTCTTTCAAAAAAATTTGTTCTAAAAGAAGGACAATTTCTTAGTCACATATGTATCAAGACATGAGCAACTATTTAGGGTATTTCATAGAAATGTGAATGATAAGTAAAAGGCCGGATTATACCAAACATTTGATGCTGTTTAGCAGATAATTGCTTCTAATTTTAGCGAAAGGTTATCAATGTATTAATCCTCTTTAATTGAATGAAATTTCATTAAAATCTGCAATAAATATTCTTGATTGATATAAACATTTATGTCAACTTTTGAAATTATGTTTCTCAATTTTGCAATTTCTACTTTCAAAAAGCACAAAGTCATTTAAAATTATTTTAATTTGACAAGCATGAATAATCAACCATTTGTTTAAAAGTTCAAGTAAAAATATATTTTGGTAATGAACAAAAGCTGAAATAATGGAAACATTGCGGTTACTCTTCCAGATTGAACCTGTACCGGATTGCTACGCTAGTAAAGCTTGACCGACTCAGAAATATCTATGGCAGATTCTCCAACATCTAGCTAGACCGACTCAGAAATCTCCATGGCAGATTCTCAAACATCTAGCTACCGGCTCAGAAATTTCTATGGCAGATTCTCCAACATCTAGCTAGGAATCAGAAATCTCTATGGCAGATTCTCCAACCTCTAGCTAGAGAACAGCTAAGCTATAGCTCAGCTATAAAGAAAACAGACGTGTAGCACGGAGCGCGTTTATATCTGTGGCAGATTCTCCTACATCTAGCTAGACTCCCAGAAAAGCTAAGCTATAGCCCAGCTATAAGGGAAACACGAACCAGCTAAGCTATAGCCCAGCTATAAAGGAAACAGACCGAAACTAGCTAAGCTATAGCCCAGCTATAAAGGAAACAGACGATAATTCGGAACACGTATATTCAGTCACGTAATGATCAGAAAAGTGAGCACGGAATACGTTTATTCGGTACGTATATCAGGATCAAGTGTACACGCATGGAGCTACTCATGATCAGGAGTAGCAAAGTGTCATGTTGGCAAAGCGATTAGTTAACATTAATAGCTAAATATCTCTGAGTAAGTAGGATTTCAATTTGATTATTGACTTAAAGCAATTTTTTTTTCAGTAACTGCAATGCTTTCAAAATTTTAAATTGATGTTTACAGATTTCCTTTAGGCACACAAATGTTTTAATTTTTTTGAAATAATTTTCAAAAGTTTTGCTCAAATGAATGTAAAATTTATTAGGAAAACAAACAAAATAATATATTATTTGTATATCGAAATTTTTTAAAAATTAAATTCTAAATTATTTGCAAATAGATCTTTAAGAAGCCAAAAATTTCAATATCAGATAGAAGAAATTTAAAATTAATAAATGACATTTTCATTGAAATTTAATTTTAATAGATTTTTAAGGATAGCCTATCTTTTCAATACTGTATCGTTCAGTCACATTTTTGCTATCTATATTTATAACTGTGAGGCCCATAAATCAATTTTAAATTAGATGATTGGTCGAATGACTTAGGGTTTATAATCAATAAAGGTTTGGTCACTCTAATAGGGTTCATTTGCGTAAATTTAGAGGTGACAAGTCATCAAAGTAATGCAATAAATTTATTGCAACTCCACCAGGAATTTAAAATCATTGTTTGCCAAAGAAATTAAAATGTCACTTATTAATTTGTATTGTTTCTATTCTCAAAGAATGTAGTAATTATTAATTTATGAAATTAAAAAGGCAAAATACCTGACCTCTCTTCCATTATATAGTAAGCAACAATTTTTTTTGTACAAATAAACAATACTCAAAGCAAATCAAAATATTTATTGATTTTAAAGGGAAAAAGTAAGCAATGCTTCATTAAAACTAATTTTGGAGAGCATTATATTTCAAACATCGGCGCAAAAAAGCATTGGTGCCAAAATGAGTTTCAGAATGAAGATGAACTCAAATGTGACCCAATGTATAATGAATTCAAATTTAATGAATGGAACAGAAAGGTAGAATTTAAGTATTACATTGTTCTAATCGTGCAACGGTTAAATCTATCATAAGGCAGTCACAAGAAAAAGAAATCACACTTTAAAAGAAAATTTTTATGCAATTTAGTTCATTAAAATTTTAAAATACTAGCTTATATCATAAAATCAAATAAATTTTTTATTAGAAAAAAATAGGATGTAAACCTGAAAGATCTATCAACTTTACAAAATGGGGTGCGCGATAGACTTACCTCCTCGTGGTGCACCCTGGACAACGTATTTTCTTACGGCAAAAAAGTCTATCAATCGGCATTCGTTTTTGACTTCGATTAATTATGATTAGCTTTAAAAAAGGCTATAAGAAACATCGCCCTCGTCAGGGCGAATCACAACGTCTTCAGATCCTCCAGTGGAATGCTGGAGGAATGTCTCCGGACAAAAAGATCCAAGTACAGAAAATCCTACAAACCTATGATGTAGACATTTTCACAATTATGGAAGCAAACATTTCGGATGACAAACTGAAGTATTACCAATTCCCAGGTTACACCCTCTACAATCTACCTAAATACCGGCAAGTTGCAAGTGGAATTCTAACTCATTACGACCTAATCAAGAGTATGGGCTCGACACAAGACATATGTGAAATAATCAGATTAAATGTTTAGAAATATCAAAACCAACTCAAGATATATGCAGTCTATAATCCGCCCTAAAATTGTCCAAACTTGGACTTTCTGAACATCTCACACAAAACTATAGTATTAGGAGACTTCAACGCCCACTCCACCAGATGGGGCTACAAGGATACAAACATAGCTGGAAAGGAAATTGAAGACATGCTAAACAGCTACCCTCTGGAACTTATTTACAGGAATGAGGATCCGGCTACATATTTGCACTACAATGGATCCAGAACAACCCCTGATTTACTCTTGGCTTCAAGCGACGTCAGTGAGCATACTCGAGGCAAAATAATTGACGATCCTGGTTCTAGTCACAAACCAGTCATTGCTAGTATTACCATTGGCAGCAAAAGCATGTCAAGGAAAGTGCCAACTAAGCTATCACGGAACTTCAAGAAGGCTGACTGGTCTAGATTCACAAACCTTTTAGAGGATGAACTTCATTCAAGTCCCCTCAACTTCAACAAACATCCAGACAAACTTTGCACTGCTATCACAAATATTATGATCAGATGTGTCGAGTGTTTTGGTCTAAATACCTTGAGGAACTGAAAAGAAAGCGGGACGCTCTTCGCAACACTGCTGATCAGACTGGAAGAACGGAAGACNCTCTCTCCCCATGAACCCATTAGCAGACACTGATGTAGTGTGTTGCACCCAACTGCTCGACTTCTTCAGGAAATTAAACACCCCTCCAGAGCAAATGCGCTCACTGGCCCTTGAGACAATCAATGTCAACTACCCTGGAGATCAATGGCTTCAAGTCTTCACTGATGGGTCATTCATAGAAAGCCAAGCAAACGTTGGTGCAGGTGTCTATTCTGAACTCTTCTCTTTCTACGCAACAGCGGGACATAATAGATCCGCTTTTGAAGGAGAAATAGAGGCTATTAGGATAGCACTATGCTAATTATGTTGCCTGTTACGAAATTCACCAAAGCTGTGATACTTTCGGACTCACAGTCAGGAATAAACTCTATTGGAAACAGAGAGACACCCAAAACAGCTGAGATAAAGGAATGTAGAAAACTCTATGAGCTGCTGCGAGAGAAAAACAAAACAGTGGTCCTACAATGGATTCCTGGTCACTGTGGCATTAAAGGTAATGAGTTTGCTGACACACTTGCTAAGAAGGGGACAACGATTTGGCAATGCATGGACCGGCCGATGTCTTTCCACACAATGAAGGACTTAATCAGGAGAGAATTCCAGACCTCAAGGTACAACGAACTCAAAGCTCGACCAAAGGAGAAACAGTGGACAGTGGCACTCTCCGACATACCCGACTGGCCAAGAATCGAAGCCGTTGCTGAGTTTAGACTACTTACCGGACACGATTGCTTGGCAAAACACCTTCACAGATTGGGAGTATACACTCAACCCACATGCCCTCTATGTAACCTACATGAGGAAATGGAGAAGACCCACCTGATTCGGTGTCCAGCCCTAAAGACAACTATGGAAAGCCAGATATACTGGGAAGCTGAGGTCAAAGTTGAAGGGCTAATGATAAATATCATAAAGCCTACCATTTGAAATAAATAACTTTACAAAATCGTCTTTTTTATCTCTTTTCGCTCATTTAATTACACAGTTTTATTCTGAAGGTCACGTCCGTAAAAAAATTGGATTTAAGTTTTCGTCATTTTACACTTAAAAAATCAATTTTGTCTTAAATTTGATAATAGAAGGAAACCTCATTTATTTATGCCCTTAGCTTCAGCTTTCATTAAGTTACTTGTTTCTCAAAAATGTAAGCCGTTGTTTCGATCTTTATATATTCTAAGCATTAATTTTATTTGAAAAGTTAAGAGGCGAGTGGTGGGGGGGGGGGAATTCGATTTAACAATAGACCGTCTTTTTTGAGCAGGGTTTACAGTGGTGATATATTGACATTCTAAATAAGGATCTTAAATAATATTCAATAAGTAAAGTCGTCATTCGATTGTTTGTCAATTTTTGATTCCCGATCTAACTTAAATAGTCCCATATTCACGAAGCTTTTGTTAATACCTTGCACCTTTTATTCCTTTGTGCTAATTTAAGTTAAAATTGAGATGATAGTAAGAGGCTTTCAAAATTTTTAAATTGACACAATTGTTCTTATCAATTTGCTCAACAATTTGCAACACACTTGTTACAAAAGTTGTGCATATTTGTAAATCAATTCGCCTTTTATATTTTACTGCACCGATATATGTCATGCACGGAGTAAATCGAATTTTCATTAATTGAATCATAATGTTTAAGAAGATATTTCATTTACTCTTCAATATTAATTAAAATTTAATTATAATTGACAATTGGTAGCACGTTTTAATATTCAGGACTAATTTTCTAGTCCTCTCGTTTTGTCAAATTCTTTTCGGCATTCAGAATTAAAAGATAAAATTAAAAATAACTTCCATTGCCATGACTTTTAATTATAATCTATTCAAACTTGGTCAAGTACAAAAGGCTATTTTTTAGACAGTGAAATCTAAGAAATTTTTAATTATATTAAATATCAGGCTTTATGAGTTTTCATTAATATGGTTGTTGACTTCAGGCTTCATAGAGAGAGAGAGAGGGGGGAGGGAACATCAAAGTGAGAAAAATTCGAAAGGAGGGAAAGAAGAGTGATTCGAAGATGTCAGAGAGACAGTTGCAAAGGTAGAGGTTGTGGAAATGGTCGAATATGACATATAGTCTGGTCAAGTTAGTTTGAAGTCAATTGTCGGTTTATAATTTTTTTGTATTAGTTTACTTTGCTCATTTGGTATCATTAACACTTTAGCTAACTTCGGGCTTCATAGAGGGTAGGAACATCAAAATGAGAAAAAATCGATAGGAGAAACAGTTGAGTGGTTATCAGAAGTAAAAGAGACAGGCAGAAACACAGGTAGGAAAGGGATGATGAGTACTGTGGAAGTGGTCAAATAAGACATACAGTGGGGTAATGATAGTTTGAAGTCCGAAGTCAACTGCCGATAAATAGACCTTTTTTTGCCGAATGAGTATACGTTGCCCAGGGTGCGCCATATGGAGGTAAGTCTATCGCTCACCACCTGAGATTATTATAAATTCAAGAAAAAGATTAAATTACATTCAAAATGAAATATCCCACATTAATTTCAATATGATTAAAACAACTTTTCAAAAAGGAACCTAGAATAATATTATTGCACTTGGCTTGCTGCTTTCTAGACGAAAATTATTTTACCATTTCCCAGTTGTAAATATTTACCAAATAATAATGCTCTAATAAAAAGACTATGTAATATTTAATTTTAAAATATTTACTGGCAAAGAACATCCTTAACTGTCAAAAATCACTATCTTATTTAATGTGGGAAAATTCTTTTTGAATATCTTACTTTTTTAAACAGGCAAATGGGTTTTTATAATTAGAAGAAATATCGCCCATCTACCCATCGTTACTTTAATCATCTTTTTTATAAAATTGGCATTGAGGACCTCTTGTACTAGGCCAGTTTTTGATGACCATTAATTTATTAAGAGTTAAAGAGAATAATAAAATGAACTGTTTTTACTTTTATTTTCCTTTTAAAGCATAAAATAAATAAAACTTTGCATAAATGAAAGATTTTTTATTTGAACAAATATATAATTTACAATCGCACATTTAACTTTAGGATTTTATCAAAATATAGCAACATATCAGTATATATTCAATCCGAAAATAATTACGTCCAAAGTCGATTAATGTGTTATTGGTAAAATCGTATTTTATTTTAAAAAAGTATTTTGAAAATTAGGCAAGTTTTAAGTGAATAATGTAAGTGTAATTTGGTTTTTTAATTATTTTTATATTTATCAATCTGTAGGTCAAAATCAAATTATTAAAAATCCATCATAATTTTCTAATAAGCAAAATTTTTTTAAATTTTATTTAATCATATTTTTCAATAATTGTTTTACTTGGTTGACTTCCTATAAATTACAAAAATAATACTATTATCGCGTGATCTATAGTATAATGCCACAGATTTAGCATTCACTCTTGAAAATACCTGACCATTTATTAAGCAAATCGCATAAAATTCGATACTGATTTCTCTCTTTATTTCGCATTCGTAAAGAGTAACGTTCATATAAATGTGCTTAGTTTTTAAAATGTTAAAATAAAACTCCGTTGTTTTGGCAAACTTGCCAAATATTTTTGTTTGCCGGGAAAATAATTCAATTTCCATTTTATTGGAGACTCATTAAAGTATAAAAGTTGCATAAGCATTTAAAATGTCAGTTATTTCAAGGGCTCTATCGTTCAGTCTCGCTAACAATAATGTTAAACGTTAAATCAATATCAGGGGCGTACACATGACTAATAAAACAAAAATATTTAATAAAAAGACAAATTATTTGAGTTTGGTAAACTACGTTGAGTATAGTTGATAGAATACAAAAAACATATTTTGAAGTGTAGAATACGATGTACGTATTATACTCCTTTCTAAATAAGATTATTTATAGTTGCGAAATTTGCCTGTTTAAAGTTTTGTTAGAGAGTGTAAATAAATATGCTAACATTTATCATAAATAATATTTATAAATAGATCAAATTATAAATGATTTATTATTTATCTATATCAAATGATCAGCTTTATGATTGTCCTTAAATTGACTTTGGGCCTCACAGAGAGGTGGAATATCAAATCTACAAAAAGTAGCAAGGGCGAACAGAAGAGTGATTCACAGATGTAAAAGAGACTAACAAAGGTAGAGAAAAGGTAAACGAATACTGTGGAAGTCTTGGAATATGACATACAGTGGGGTGATGGTAGTTTGAAGT